TAGTAATCAGTCTCATTTTAGTTCATTATTCTTTTACAGCCTCATGTCTATAAAAGAAGGGATGCAGTGTAGAATGTAAATCAAAACTGAATTCAATGTTTTTCAAATCTCATAAACCCACATTTTATTAACAGTAAGACATGTAAAACATTTCAATTGAACTGAGAAATTGTTCCATTTTAAGAAAATTATGGATCATTTTGAATGTGATGGTAGTACCATGTCTCAGAAAAGTTAAGACAGGGCCTTGTTTCCCACTGTGAATTTTCTCTTTTCGTTTTTACAACATTGTAAACATCGGGGATCTGAGGAGACCAGTTGCTGGACTTTAAGGAGAGCAATGTTGTCACATTCTTGTCTGACGTAAGATTTTACCTGCTTAACAGCCCTGGGCCGCCTTTGTCGCATTTTTCGTTTCATGATGCTCCAAATGTTATGAGTAGGTGAACGGTTTTGACTGCAGGCTGGTTATTTCAGCACTCAGAGTATTGGAGTATGACACAATGCCATTATAATACATGCACTATGCGATTTACAATTGTTTTCCTGAAATATCCAAGGCCTTCCCTGAAAAGATGATGTTTAGATTAGAGATGGACCGATCCGATGTTACGTATCGGTATCGGTCCGATACTGATGTAAATTACTGGATCGGATATCGGAGAGAAATAAAAATGTAATCCGATCCATTAAATATCAAAAAGCATCTCACAAAACTTGCGACACGGCGTAACTCAGCTCATAACTGTAGCACGTCGGAGCAGTGTGCGTCACGTGATAGAGCGGCTGTGTCCGGCATTTCATCTCCGAGGAAGTGATCCCAGAGAGAAGTAAAGCAAGTGTTTAAGTTCATCTCTGAATGTTTGTAAAGCATTCCCACATTAAGCTTAACAACCGATATATGGAGCGACTGCCTCTCTCTCTCTCCTGCTGCTACTTCAATCATGAAACTGATCAATGATCAGCTGATTGGCTTTTCTGTGGCGAGTCCGTCTCTCTTGTTTGTTTTTGGCCACTTTGCACCAGAAAGAGGAAACCAGCGGCTGAATAACAGAAGCACGTTTAAGCTTGATAATCTGTTGTTAGAATTTATTTAATATTACTTTCTAGACCAGGATTCTTTTCTACGTAGCTGACCGCTGGTAACTGTGCAGGGGCGAATCTAGCAAAGTTTAGCCAGGGGGGCCGATAGGGCATGAACAGGGAAAAGGGGGCACAAAGACATACTTTCTTTCTTATTCTCATTTAAAATGTCGAGCTTTTAATAAATATCTGAATCTTACACCCAAAGTTTTAATCTGATGTAAAATATATAGAAGTCCATTACTTTATAACTAACAATAACTATTAAGTTATATAGTTATAGTTATTAAGTAACTATTAAGTCTAATATACCCTAGTAAGCTATAGTACTTTTCCTTTGGGAACCATCTGTGCAGTCTGCAATTCTGTTGAAGAAAGATGTTGAATCTATTTAATATTTCTTGAAAAATAATTTATTTCTGTGCATTTTATTTCACACTGCATCAAATTAAAGTTGATTACATCGATTAAGCATCATGAGGTGGAGGTGAGGGGTGTTCTCTAAAATAAATATATATATATATATATAATATATATATATATATATATATATATATTATTATTTTTATTTTTTATTTTTTTTTTTGCTCCTGTTAGTTAGGTTGCTTAATATTCTGCTAAGTACTCTTTAAAATACCAGAATAGGGAGGATGGTGCAGGTTTAACTTTATTAGATTGATCAGTTTTGCTGAACTATGAAATATTTTGTATTTTTTACGTACAGGTATAACAGAATAGCTTTAGTGTTGTTGTTTATTTAAACTGAGTATGAACTTATACAAAATGCAGCAAGATATTTAAAAAAAAAAACTTTTATTGATTAAAAAAACACTATCTGATTCATATTGGTATTGGCAGATATCCAAATTTATGATATCGTTATCAGACATAAAAAAGTGGTATCGTGCCATCTCTAGTTTAGATGGGAGCATATGTTGCTCTATAACCTGTATTTTCTTCGGCACTAACGATGCGTTTCCACATTTGTATGCTACTAGCTCCATAGGCACTAATGCACCCCATACACTAAGATGTGGGCTTTGAAAAACATTGCGTTCTATTTTAACTTGCATTTTACACAGCGTCTCAACTTTTGGAAGATAGTTTTACAGCTTTATTACATAACTCTATCCTTATAATTGACTTCTTCTCATGATGATTATTCTCTTTACCTATTCAGGAGGAGAGTGATTGCTCTGAGCTGGATTTCTCCATTTGTTCAGGCTCTGAATACGTGCCAAGTCAAATTTCAGACTTAAGTGATGAGGACAACCACAGTCTACAAAGTAAGACACTAAAGATCACTGATGTTTCTAGCGACAGTGATAATGAAGAACTGAGAAACATGACTCTTAAAAAGACACCCAGAACATATGGGAAAAGAAAGAGAAATGATCATAAGGCACAAGAGAAGGCTAAACGGACTAAACGGAAATCAGAAGTGACTGTAAAAACATGTACAAAAAGGGAGGACAACAAACGAGTATGGACAAAAAACATTATTGTCTTTACTGTGGGAAGTCCCAAGCAAAAATATCGAGACACCTGGAGAGGAATCACATAGAGATAAGTGATGTGGCATATGCCTTTAGCTACCCTGTTGGTTCCAAAGAAAGGAAGGATCTTCTAGAACAACTTCGCAATAAAGGTGACTTTAAGCACAACACCAAAGTGATACAAAAAGGCAGAGGACAAGTCGTAACATGGAAGCAGCCATCTAATAAAACCATAGCAGGAGAATATTTACCTTGCCCTTATTGCTTTGCAATGTATATCAAAAGACATTATGGAAACATGCGCTGTCATGCAAAAGTAAAAAACTGTGTGCGTCAAAAACTAGACATCCTAGAGTACAGGGTTACGCTGCACGCCTGCTTCCAATAAAACATTCATCTAAAGGATGTCAGACTATTATTGACAACATGCGACAAGATCAAGTGTCCTTTCACATCAGGAGTGATTCTCTGATTTGCAAATATGGAGAATCGCTATATGCAAGACATGGCCGTGTGAAGTCTAAGCACCAATATATTGCGCAAAGGATGAGGGAGCTTGGCCGTCTCATATTAGCTGCAAAAAATATGGACAGGACAGTGAATGTACTTGAAGATTTGTGCAAACCATCAAAATTCCAGTTTGTTGTCAGTGTTGCCAAGCATCTTGCAAACTTTAGTCCAGGCAAAAATGAATATGGCAAACCGTCAACAGCAGTCAAAATTGGATTTTGTCTTAAAGGCGCAGTCGAGGTACTGATTGGACAGACTCTTATGAATGATGATGACTATGCAGAGAAGAAGGCCAAAAAATTCTTGGAACTTCTGGACAAAAACTGGAGGAACAGTGTATCTGTCAGTGCTCACCAAACAATACAAGAAAAGAGGTGGAATAAACCGGATGACATTCCCCTCACCAAAATGTGATTGCTCTGAGGGACCATCTCCGTACCGTGGAAGGTGAAGCAAGAGAGAGTCTAATGCAGCACATGGATTTGGCAGCATACAAGGCACTGAATGAGACTGTTTTGGCACAGGTTATTGTCTTTAACAAGCGACGTGAAGGGGAAGCATCACGCTTGACTCTTCAGACCTACAAGAACGTAAAAACAAGTCCCATTAATGAAGACATTTACGAAACCTTGTCACCATTAGAAAAAGAGCTAAGCAAGCTATTAACCCGCATTGAAATCAGGGGGAAGAGAGGCAGGAAAGTGCCAGTTTTTTTGAGCGACAGAATGAAGGAGTCAATCGATTTGTTGGTGAAAAACAGAGAAGCAGCTGGTGTACCTGCTGAAAACCCCTATCTCTTTGCTAGACCTGGTGGGATGACACACATACGTGGATGTGACTGCCTACGAAAATATGCAAACCAAAGCAAAGCAGAAAACCCTGAGCTTCTGAGGTCAACTAAATTAAGAAAACAAGTTGCCACACTTTGCCAACTCCTCGATCTTAATGATCAAGAGCTCGAGCAAGTTGCAAGATTCATGGGACATGACATCAGAGTTCACCAGGACTTTTACAGACAGACAGACAAAACCTTTCAAATTGCCAAGATAAGCAAGCTTCTGTTTGCAATGGAGGGAGGCGCTGGCACCTTAAGGGGCAAGAACCTCAGCACCCTGGAGGTTTCTGTTGCTGGTATGTATGATAGAGTATTTCTTTTTTTCCACTGTCCTGCTATATTGAATTGCAAATGGTATTGTGTGGTCAAATAGTTTTACACTTGACTAATCCATAACATGAGGCTTATAACACCAAATCTGTCTCTCGCTCTCCCTCCCTCTGTCTTTCACTCACGCAGACACACACACACCACCACCACCACCATCAACTTTGCTAAAATGTTAATGAAAAACATTGACCAGGCAGCTGCAATTGAGCAGCAACGTCCATCCAACTCTTTTCACGGTTGTTGTGGTCGTGATAATTTTGTGAGGCCACATTGAAAAGGCTGAGGTGAGCTTGCTAAAGTTCTGCAAGTTGTGCCTCCATCGCTTGTGTCCAGATCACACGCTGCACTGCTGTGCTGCTCTGTCTTTATCACTTCCGTTTCTGTGTTTGTGCGTGCGCAGTGTGAGAGGCTGTGTTGACACCCTCACGAGGGGCGACAGGAATTCAATAAGTTTGATTTTCTTGCAACCATCCGACTCTTGATTGGGAGCTGGTTGTGAGGTGTTAATTGCTTCTCGTTACCCCATGTATAGTGGACGATGACACACGATTAAGGCGAAACTTGGGCCAATCCCCAAAATGGACACATGACTGAAAAATCGGCTCAAAATTGCCCAAAAATTGCACAGTATATACCCAACTTTAGAATGTTGGTGGTTAGCACTGTTCTCTAATCAAAATTTTGGACTACCAATTACTAATATTTCATTATCTTTTATAGGTGTAATTTCCCCAGCTCCCAGCCTCCAGCTAGTCAAAGAGACCCAGGCAGACTGAAGGAACAAGACACAGAGGTGGATGAAAGTAGGTTTTAATATAGAGAAATTGTTGCAAGTAACATTTGTTTGCAGCCCTATTTTACAGCCTGTGTCTACGTGGTAGACCTGTGCAATCTTCTGCAGTCCAATAACACGGTCATGCCATAACATCTTATTTTACCTATAACCGTGAATACATGAGCTCAGTTAAGACAATAAAGACCATGAATTGACAATGAATAGGACTGATTATATTGATGGTGTTCCTGTTTTGTCCTTTCTGTTTACAGTACAACAGCAGAACACATTTTTGGTTTCCAATGTATCTTTTCATAAATGAAAACATTATGTTAGGTTGAAATGGTGAGCAGATATTCAAATCACAAATATATTTACATTTATTGCATTTATTTGTGCCACGGATAGTTTGATCCACTGAGATTTTTATTTTTGATGTAGTGTATAACTTGTGGTCACAAGCACCATCTATATAATCAAGCAACAGTTTTGGACAGAAATTCAGCATCATGGCAGTGGTATGTTTAGAATAAATCTTGGCTTGATCATTTCAGTAAATGTGTTACTCCTAAACAAATCTGTAAATGCTTATTAAACATGTTTCCCACTTGCTCTGTGACCTTAAGGTTGCATTTAGTTTTTGGCTTCATGAGACGATTAGCTTCCAGGTGAAAAGGGATGTTACTTTGAATCCCTGTTTGTACAAACAGCTTTTCCAGTTCAGGAGAGAACATGTAGAATTCCTTACTAGAGGACCTCAGTCTGAATCCTGACTGGCACATCTTAAATTTAAATGGGCACTGGTTTTAAAATACGATTAGTCTTCTAGTCATGATCTACTGCTTGTTGTTTTTTGGCACATTGTTAGTGTTGTGTATTTTAAAGCTCATGACAATGGAAATTAGCTTAGGTTATACATTTTACAGTAATTTCATTTTAAAGACTTCTGTCTTTATACAAATTTCCACATAAAATTGCATCATTTCAATATTTCTTACATTGCAGACAATAATGTGGTCTTCGCAAGCAGTGATGATGGCTGTTCTGATAGTGGTGGTAAGTGTTACCTGCTCACTAGTAGAGCCGTTGGTATACTGTCTCATGAATAAGCTGCATTTATGATAAACTGCCTAGAGTTATGTATGTGACATTGACTAATATAAGACACTGATGTTAGCCTGTTAGCTCTAGTTCCTAATGGTTAAAAGGAAATGGGTGGCATGTTATAGCCAAATAAACACACTGTTGGCCAACTTCAGTGCTCAGTAATCTATACAAAAGATAACACTTGATCATGTACACTCTCTCTATAGTGAGCTCCTTTATTACAGCAAGAAATAGACTGAAAAACACATGAAATCTGCGAGTTTATCACCACAACCCAGATTCTAATTTTTGTTACATTTGTCAAATGTAGTTTTATACAAATGCCACCTTGTAATGGCTGTGCAGTGGGGGGTTTTTCCTTTTGCTTTTTTAATTTATCCTAAATAAAAGAAGAGTAATTACCATTTACATACTCTTGATGGCTAATATTTGACATCTGGTGTCAGTCACAGGTGAAAGTCCCATAGCAGCTACTCAGAGTGATCCTCAGGGAAATGAGGAGGAGGAGAAAGGAGGAGGCAGTGAGATGGATGAAGGTCAGATTTTCCAGATTTATTCAATAGAAAGGAAAAAAATCAGTGAATTAGGACGATGTGGCACATTAATTTATTTATTTTTTTATTTTTTTAAAGACGATAGTTCTCAGCATTTCGCAGATGTAAATGGTGAGTTTAAGCATTTGTCTGAAATGTAGTAACACTGTTGTGTATTCTAATTAAATTCTATTCAAGTAAAATCTGCATTGTATAATAACAGCTACCATTTTTTTTTATCTGTTTCTGTTTTAGAAGAGACCAAAGAAGTAACACTCGCCGTGAGGAAAAGGGGAAAAACCAAAGTGGCCAAAGCAAAGGGTGAGATGTTTTCAGCTTTAAATGTATTTGATATTTTCTGTTTGCAGTATATGAATCAGGTTGTAGACATGAATTTATTTCCTTATAGTCTTGCTCTTTGTGGCAGAATATATGCCTACACAAACACAAAACTCTTGATAATATTGATCCAGAATTATTTTGTTGGTAATTAGAAAAATTATTGAAAATGTTTAAGTATTGCTTTACAGTAAGTTGAAGAGGAGAATTCAGAGGGGGTGGAGATGGGTGTCAGGGGTGATGTGTTATAAAAGGAAAGCAGCAAGAGGGAAAAGAAAGGTTTACAAAATGGTAGTGAGGAAAGCTATGACGATTTTCATTGGAATGACCAGGATGGACAGGATTAGAAATGACTACATCATAGGGACAGCTCAGGTCAGAGGTTTGGAGACAAAGAGAGACAAGGCTGAGATGGTTTGGACATGTGCAGAGGAGGCTGCCAAGGGATGTTGATGATGGAACTGCCAGGCAGGACGAGAAGAGGAAGACCTCAGAGGAGGTTCATGGATGTGAAGGAGGACAGGCAGAAGGTTGGTGTGACAGAGGAGGATGCTGGTATAGGAGGAGGTTGAGGAGATGATCCGCTGTGATGACCCCTAAAGAGTTCAGCTGAAAGAATGATTGCTTCACTTTTATTGTTACATTTATGATTTGTTAGGCTACCTATTCTGGTGAGTGACTAGTTTAACCTGCTGTGTTGCGTGAGTTCACACTTTGCAAGAACAGCACTACAAAACACATGGCAGGGTTCTGCAGGTCATTTCACAAGTCTGGAATTAAAAAAAAAATGCAGGCTGAAAATGTCTTGTTATATTATCATAGAAAATACCTGTTTAAGGTCCTATGATTTACCAATTAAAGACAACTACTTTATCTCAATGTTATTTTTTTTTACAATGCGTATTTTAGTTTCCACCAATTACACACACAGATGTTGTGTTTTAAAATCAAAATTTGTAAAGTGAACTAGATTGACAGTATGGACCATCATTTTCAGTGAGAGGTTTGTGAAAAGACAGCAAGAAACGGCAAGTACAAGCAACAAAGCTCATCGAGTAGACTACATTAGGCTTCAAACTTTCCTTTTTGCTAAAGCATATATTTCAGGCTGGACCAGGTGACCCTGAATCCTCCCTTAGTTATGCTGCAGTCTGTTTTAATATCTTCATATTTGCCTAATACTATACTTTTATCTTTTGAAAAATCAGCTTCTGTTTCCAGTACGCTTTTCAATAATCATTAGTGAACAGATGCTCACAATGCCACCCCTTTCATGCGACCATGCAGGTTAAGCTTTTTGTGACCACTTATCCAGATCGCCACTTTCAGGTTAAGTGAATCCAGATTATGGAAAGATAGCCTTGATGTGTTGAATGTGCTTTGTAGTACAGGCCTTATGACTAATGATAGACAAAACTTAATTCTGCTCTTTGGTATTGTATCTGTGCGCCAGTCGCAAAACTGTGACAGTTTGTCAAATAAAACGCATAAATTCAGATAAAATGAAAAGATCATGTCAATCAGTTATGTTTGGTTCTGAATCATGATCTAGGTAATTTGTTACATTGTCAAGGATATTAGCAATTGTATTTCATAATAAAAAAAAAAATTGACTTAAAATATGTGATGTCACTTAACTAGATTAGGACTACTACCAACAGCACAGGTTTTTTTTATTACTAGTACATCAGAAATATTTGCCTTATTTAAAACAATAGCAAATTATTAAAGTCTGACAGTTTTTTTTTTTACAAGAATATTGTTATGATGAATGATTTTAACAGGAATAATAACTAGTTATCATCTTATTTTAAAAGGCTAGATGCAACATGTACCTTTGAAAACAAAATGTATAAAAGTAAATTGGCTGCTGTTTCACTCTGTAGGTATATTACTCAATAACTGATCTCATGTTTCTGTGAACTCAAAATACTTAATTTAAAAGTGCTTACTACATATCTTGGGTACAAAATGTTGAGTAAATTGTTGAACCTACAGTTTGGTTTGGCATTTTCTGTAAATATACACAAGCAGAACCCCATTTCAAAAACAAAACAAAAACAAAAAAACTACGGTTACATACATGTTGTAAAGTTAACAGTCCATGTTGTCTTTTGTGTTATTTGTAGAGATCCCCCGTGCGAAGGTCAAGAAGCCATGGAGTGAAGCAGAGAAGACGGCAGTGCAAAGACGGCTGGGAAAATTTGTCGCAGAGCGTAAAGTTCCAAAAAAAGAACACTGCATGAAATGCTTAGAAGCGGAAAAAGACCTAGCTAATCGCTCATGGAAAGATGTTAAAAACTTTGTGTACAACACGATTGTCACTCTGAATCGAAGGTCTGCTTGTAAAAAACTCTTCTAAAATAAGTTTACCTTGATAATGTTAAGACATTATTTAAGATTTAATTTTGTCTTCTCATGCTTGGTTTGTGACTGACTTGACGGCTTTGGTAGCAACTGCGAGTCTGATTGTAATTTGATTGGCTTTATGTTTTGGAGTGGTGAACTGTGAGGGCGATGAAAATACCTTTACCTGGTGTCTTTTGAGGTAACCCGTTTTGGATTTTAAGTTCTAGGTTTTTGCCCAGGATGTTTTTGGTTCATTTATTTTATAATCTGTTAAAGTACATTAGGCATCTAAGTTGTTCACCTTCTTAATGGCTTAATGGTTAGAACACATCCTAAAGTGTCCACCTTTGCTCAGTGCTGATGTTCATTGGCGAAAAGTTTAATTTTGGTTTTAATTATGTAGGAAGCAGGAAGGTCATACTGGTACAGTTGTAGCCATCCTAAGCTTTACTGATTTTTCTTTTTGGCAAAAGTCAAAACAAACTGATCAAAGTTATTGATCACTATTTTAGTTGTAAGTCATTAGACTTAATAGTTGTCTTCATTGTTATAATAGCAATTATTATTCCTCTGGAAGGATGTTACATTGTGAAATAAACTGAATTTGCTCTTGTTGCAGCATTGTGGGAATTTCCTTGGTAATTATTAATAAAATCTACAGCAGTATTTGAAATGTAATACTACCTTTTTTGTTATGTAGGGTTGTATTGATAGATTATCAGAACTTTTTAGTTATTCTATTTATGTATAAAGTTGAGACTGTTTAACTTTAACATTATTTGGTTGCACTAAAATAGAAAATGTCAAGGAGTAAATGCAAACAGAAAAAAAACATATAGACAGAAACGAACACAAAAGCACCCCCTGGTGGAAAATCACCTGAATAGCACTCAATGACAAGGTCCTCATTCTGATAGTAGAATGAGATTTTTTTTTTACTTGAGTGTTTTAAGATTTTGAGGTGATTTTTGGTGTCAGAGAGCCACCCAGTGTTCAAAAGTGGCAAAGGTTTGTCTGCAAGTGTAGCAGAAATGGTGGTCCTCACTTTGATAGTGCACTTACCCGGTCCTCAGTCGTTATGCAAGACAGGAATGTGTGTGTGTGTGTGTGTGTGTGTGTGTGTATGTGTGTAAGCATATTTGCCTGCTGCTTCCCTCAGCATTGCTCTGTGCGTCCAGCCTAACTAAACAACCATCTAAAATCTGGAGCTCCATGATCGAAGTGACTCAAACTGACAAAAACAAGCAGTGAGGCGCTGTGTCTAGCACAGGCCTCTATTCATAACCACAGAGCCACATGCAACAGCCAGTGTGACCAAGTCTTTTCCAAAGAAACAAACTCCTGCTTCAGCGCTATGAGTTTACACTTCCACTGGTGCTCCGAGTCATCACGGCATGTCGTCCTGCCAGTCTAAACATGCAGAGAGGTGCAGGAGTAAAATGAGCTCTGACCTCATGGAAATACGTGCTGAGATGCTTTGATCAGCTGTACCTGATGTGAGTAAATGCTACTCAAGTTAGCTGTGCTTACGTTGCACACATTAAATACTGTTATGTAGACCAAGTGCTCATACTTATCCAGTGTAAGCTCTGTTCTTGAGTTAGTTAATTTATTATTTAATATGAATCCCAACCCCAACCAACACATCAAAACCAGAAGCTATGCAAACAAACAGAAAAACAGAAGAAGCAGCAGGTTCTCACGCTTACCATGACTTGACAAACATCAGTTATTAAGTTGTTTATATAAACAAATATGTTGTGTAAGCTGGTGCGTCTGAGGATGGTGGCTGGTTTCACCTGCAGCGCATTACACAGGTGCCCAGGATTGTTTGGACAGCTCCAATTTATGATTCTTACCAAACTTATTGAGCTGTTTATGAAAACGTCTGCAGACAGACACTGTTTTCAATTCTTGCAGCTTCAGGATATTGCCAGATGTCTGACATTGTGTGCATTCTCCTCCAGATGTGCTGCAGGACGTCTGGCTGACGGCTGGACAGACGAACGGAGAGAGACGCCAAGCAGCTTAGAGCGAAGCTAAAGAGTGAAATACCGTGATTTAAATGAAACTCGCTGAGCTTTTTCTGTGATTGAAGCTTTTCTTAAGTCATTTACATAAAACTACTAAATCTTTAATATTGGTTAGAGGCTTGGGTAGGTGTGTGCATGAGTGTGTGCAGGGCTCTGAGCAGAGAAGCCACATGAATTTAAATGATTGTGACAAATCACTTATGTTCATTTTTTAAATAAGGATGTTTTTAAGCTGACATTTTTTTTTATATCAGGAAAAAAAAAAAGCACTGACATCCAGCATTTTATTTGTCATATTTTATGGAGAACATTAGTTAAGGCACATAACTCTCTGTAACCTGGTAGGACAGACAACAGTTACTGTAGCTCTCTTTATTCTTTATGGTAATGTAAGACTGCCCATACTGAAGCAGCTCTGTGGTCTATGCAGAGAAACAGAAGCTAATTAAGTCCCTCCCACCGTGGATGGGAAACAATTCTGTTTTCCACTGACTTTGTGGGTCAAAGTAAAACAAAGTTACTGACAGTAACCTGTTAAATGGACGGATGGAAGCCTCGCCATGGCAAAAGTATGGTGGCCCTGAGAGGACTGTAACTTAAGAAAACACCAGAAAATAGAAAAAACTAAAATCGTAAAAGTCCAAAAAACACAAAAAAAGTTAAGTCTCAGTGCAGTGCGTTTGACCCAACTTTTTGTCTTCTATATATTTTAGCTTTGTAACAGCTAACCCCTCCAGTGGTTTTCAGAGTCTTTACAGTACACACAGCAGTACCACCATAGGTCCACACAGGCACATTCCTGGCAGATTAGATGAAGGGCAATTTCTGCTGTTTACCCTGCAGCCTGAGCGATGAAAGATAGTAGCGCGCTGCCCTGATAACTTTCCAGACTTGTAAAATCCTGAGTTGTATCCAGTAAAACCCACTGCAGTGTTTGACATTCAATTCAAATGAATGGCTCCGGTACTCAAAGTGCACTAGAGAGTACCTGACACAATGTGCTCGCACCTACACAGCCACTTAACATTGTTTTAAAGCAGGGCTGGTTTTTTGTCTGAGTGCCCACTAATGCTGCAAGAATAATAGCCTGTGCAGAAATTATAGTCCACGATGTCCATGTGCATGTATGTTGGAGTAATGGGGATGAACATAAAAGTGTGAGCCTGAAAGATGAGGATGAGCAGGACGGGCAGTTTTCAGTCGCTGCTTACATATTTACAGACTGGTCAGATATCCACAGGGGAAAAGACGCTACTGTTGATAATACAACAAGATTTTAAGAGCCATGTGCCATCTATTATGCCTCCACAAAGACCTTTGTGGTGCGTGTCTGTGCACAGAAAGCACTCACGGTGACAGAAACGCCTTATAAGGCTGTGGAGATGGCAGACGCCTGTCATGTAAAGCGCTGCAGTACGCTCGTGCACATTTTCTAACAGGAATTCATCGGTATTCATTCCCACAGCTGTGTGCGTGCGTGTGTCCCTGATCAAAGGCATTTATAGTAAAGCACAAAATACAGCCAAGCAAACAGACAATAAAAGTCATTCTCCACAAACATCACAAGTGCAGGGACATCTGAGCCCCGCAAGTGGTTGTACTGCACAACTTTACACCTACACGCCTGCCTCTACCCAGATGTGGAGACTGATAACCGTCTTTCTTTTGCAAACATCTGCAAAAATCTCCAAATTTTTCTGCGTTATTCAACAGAGAGCTGATGGAGGGATACACGCCCCTCTGCAGAGAAAAATCCGTTACTGCTCAGGCTCCGTCTCTCACTCTCTCATTTGTCACTTTCTCGTTTCAGTGTTTTAACACTGAGGGCGACGAGTCAAAGAGGAATGAGAAAATAAAGCAGGCCTTGTACACGCCACCGGACATCTGACTCCATCTGCTCCACGGAGGTGTGAATTTGAAGACGGGCAATTAAAGGAGCTCTAATTTGTGCGCCAGACGTTCTTTGACTCAGTGTGAGCCCCACCCTCCACAGTGCTGCAGTAGTGCACATCACGTCTTCCTCCCTCCTCTCCTCTAACCCTCCCTCTTCCCCACGTATGCCGCTCCTCTCCTCCTCCGTCATGCCCCCCTCCCCCCCCCTCCTCCTCCTCTCCCGTCTTTCCAGATGGCCATATTAACACGGGGCCTTTTCCACACATACTCTGGCACACACGTGTCCTCATGACCGCCAGAAAGGCAATACCTCCTTCACATCTTTTCCAAAGCTCTTCCCACACTCACCCTTTCCCCTCTTTTCTTGCTCTACTTTCCTGCTTTTCCTCCTGGACAGCAACCAAATGGCAGCCGCCAAACTACATCTCCCCCACTTTTTCCTCTCGCTCTCTCTATATATCCATTCGGTCTCTGACAAACTGCCACGCTCCCCTCCCTTCCTCCTCCCTCTCCTGACATGAGTTATTCTTCTGTAGCACAGCACTGAGAAAACCATGAGCTCATCATTTTCTCTGCAGATATACCATAACCCAAAATGAAAAGCCTCAACTCTAGTGTGACCGAAATGATCCTGCTGAGTCCATAAATACATACAGATCCTCTGCTTTGCAGAGGCAATCTAATGAAATCACAAGGACACAGAGTAACAATAAGACCAGAGAGATTAACTAATAGCCTGCCGGCGCGTCAGACAAATGAAGGTCGATGAGTTAGAGAGTCGATGGGCTCCATTTGTTTACTTAACGACTGTCACTAAATCACCTGAAGCACACAAAGACGGAGGCGTGTGGACACACGCCGGTCCTTATGTGCACTTCTACAGGTGTGCAAGGACATGGGGTCATTTAGCGCTGCGGCAACCTTCAAGAAAACCTCACTCACGCGCTGAAGGAGGCAAAGAGTACAACCAAACACAGACACGAAAATTCAATTGGCTGCGTAACTTTGAATTACCTCTTGGAGCTGAAAATGAGGGCTAATAAAATTCAGCTACAGCCTGAGAAAAATGCAGCGGCACAGGCAGGCTTAATGAAAAGTGCTAACTGCACCAAAATTCAGGAGAAAATCATTTCTGGCTTAATTTCACGCATTAAGTAGAGTTAACGTGACGCAAAGACAGAGAAAGACGAGAAACGCAGAGAGAGGCCGAGAGAGTGAAGGTGGAAGAAGGATGGAGAGGGGTGGAGAGAGAGAGGGAGGGAGGAGAAGGAAACGGTGCACTGCAATGCAGACACCTTTTGGCGTCAGCAGAAGTGCCCGGGCTCCAGCCGTGCATGTGTTAGCAGTGTGTGTAGATCTGCAGGCATCAACTCACCATCCTATCAGAACTAAAGCAAAATACACTATTGTGAGCTCCTCTCACAGCTTGTAAAAGGTGACAACATTATTACGGCTTTATATGAGACAATCAATTTGTAGATCAATCGGAAATTATCAATAGTTACTGTAACTGTTTCAATTATATTTCAAGCAAAGATGAAGCCTTTTTTTATTTGAGAGAGAGAGAAATCTGGTCTGACTGTTTTATACGACAGCAAACTGATCATCTTTGTTTTGTTCCACCATTGCTTTGATTGGACCAACAACCAATTAGACGACATCGGTTAGCTAGTAAGCCAAGTAGTTTTTTCAATTTCAATTCAATTTCAGTTATATAGCATCAAATGACAACTACACTCACCTCAGGGCGTTTTTTTTTTAATTTTAATTTACCATTTTCTGACATGTTTTACGTAAACCTCACAATGAGCTTTTATTCGATGACGTAACGCCGCTACACTGTAATGTTTTCCATCCAGTCCAGAATGTAGTTTTGACAGCACACGACTATACGTGTAATATCTCTTAGTGAGGTGACCTGAGTCAAGTTTGCGCTGTATTCAGTGGCTAAACAGTGAGGAACAGTTTGCTATAGGAAACCCATCATTAGCCGTTGTTTTACTTGCAAGAAGACAGATCTGTGAGGATGGTTTAACAGTACGACTCATACGTATTCCACATGAGGTTGGCACACAGCAAAGCACACAGTAACAGCCACGGTCATATTAGTGCCAGTATAATTATTTCTAACTGTGTAATCAAATAAAGCTGCTGTCTGGTTAATTGATTCAAATGATGTTTAAAGTCACACATTTCTGCTTCCACTTCCTCAAAGTGAGCAGTGAGGGTTTGCAGGTTTCTCTGTTGTGAATAGTTTTGGAAATTTTGTCAGATAAACCAAACAATTTGAAAATAAATTGGGGTCTGGGAAACGCCGGCACTGTTTCTGTGCTGTTTGAACATTTTCTAAAGGATTTGTGAAAATATGTGAGTAAACAGTCACTATAAACAAAGTATGATACATGTGAGCACATGCGTACATTTGCAGAGATTTAATTGATGTCGTCACCAGAGATGGGCAGTAACGCCTTATTTGTTACTTATAACGCGTTACTGTAATCTGATTACTTTTTTCAAGTAGCGAGTAAAGTAAGGGATTACTATCGCAAAAACGGTAATTAGATTACAGTTACTTTCCCGTAGGAACGCTGCGTTACTGCGTTACTAAAACCGTGATTTTTTGCGAGAATGTCTCATGACAGTGATGTAAGCGAGTGTGACGTTCGTGACAACAGCTGTGTGCAGATCAGCAATGGATAATATATAGAGTGCGGGAGAGAGTATGAGCATGCAGCGTTTAAAGCGTGGAAGTACTGACCTTACTTTGAGTTTGATTCCATAAAAAGTGACAAAAACATTAGCGTCCGTTGTGCGTGGGAAGAAAACTTCTTTTTACAGCGAAAAAAACCCCTAAACTTCCGAGCAAGCACCGAGTGCGCTACCACGTAATGGGAAACTCACAGGGAAACTCTGCACCAGGGTAAACCTCCGCCTACCCTACTCCTGCTTTACAGGTGAAAATAGAGCAACAGGACCACTGAGTCTTTTATTATTTTATTTATTTTCTGCTGTGTTTTACTTGCATCTATTTGAAAGACTGAGTGTAAACACACAAAAAATATTTTATTTTATGTGCTGGAATGTGCAGAAAATAGGTTTAAATATTAAACAAATTTCTTCCAGTCAGAGAATGTTGCATATAATTTAATTTCTGCTTGATGCATGAAGTTAAAAGATTAAAACTAATAAAACAAGTTTTAAAAAGAGACTTTTCCATTTGATTACATTTTGTATGATGGATTATGCAGAAAAAGTAGAATTGGGCTGAAAGATCTATCGCTTTATCACCTATTCAGGTTGTAAATCGTGTTTTTAAAAAGTAACTAAGTAATTAATTACTTTTGGGGAAGTAATCAGTAATTAGTTATTGATTACTTTTTTCAAGCAACTTGACCAACACTGGTCATCACACATTTCACACATAACGCCTACACGGATAATACCATACCGGGATCTTTGGATTTTAAATGTGAATCCACACATGCTTTGAAATCCAAAAGACGTCGCTGTCCACGCTCATGAAAAACATCTAACGAATAAATGCTCATTGAGGCAGAGAAATCCTTCTGTGTCACCTACTTTTTCACTGAACTCATTCAGGCATTCTGCCAAAAACATCTCCACTCACCATGTTTATGGGTGTGCTGGTCAGATCCCTCTCTGTGACCAGTCTGTCCTTGTCTGTGACGTACAGGCCTTTCTGGGCCAGCGCCTGAATGACAGCATTGTGTCCCAGTAACGGTTTGACAGCATCGCTGCGGAGGATCAGGCTTCCCGCCCGGCAGTAGAGCTCTGCAGACTGAAGCAGGCAGGCGACCGGAGGCTTCAGGTGCTCCTGGTTGTATTGGTCCCTGTAGAAAGGCTCAGCCAGCTCCTCTGGCACTGCATCTGAGGGGTAATACAGAAACAGAAAATGAGACAGGTCAAAGTTCGCACCTGCAGTTCCTCATATGGCCACTTGAGACCATTCTACTTTTACAGCAGAAATAAACAAATCAAATTCAGTTTTGGTCTTCATGAAGCTGCACGGGACGGTTATTTCCTTTTATTTCCACAGATCTTACTCATTTAAATTATATTATGCTAATATAATTAAGACCATAGCCACCTACAGAGACAGGTGGGCTTGGAAACAGGTGACTGGAGCTACTAGCTGTCTGCTAATGACGCTCACTGAACAGGACCTCTCAGCTCTCTCTGTTCTGTGTCAGTGCTTCACAAATTATAGCGTCCCATGTAGTTCATTTTACTAACAGGCCATTCAGGAAGCCTGTGCTCCAGGTTTGTTTTTTTTTAAATAGTGAATACCTAGTAGCTCTGCTTCTGTGCGATGCACCCATGCAGGCTACGGATGTGCCTTGCTAACCCAAAAAACAAGATGATGATGGACAACATGCCAAACTCAACACTGTGGCCACAAAAACACTCACCTGCTACTTCATTAGGCACACCTGTTCAACTGCTCGTTAACACAAATATGCAATAATGGCAGCAACTCAATGCATTTAGCCATGCAGACATGGTCCGAGCACCCGAATGGGGAAGAAAGTTGATTTAAGAGACCCTGAACGAGGCATGCGCCTCTTTTGACCACAGTGAACCCATCGTCTGACGACTGTTTCCAGCACGATAACAAAACTCAAATCATCTCAAACTGGCTTCTTGAACACGACAATGACCTCACTGTACTCAAACGACCTCCACAGTCACCAGTTCTCTGCCCAACAGAGCGCCTTCAGAATGTGCTGGAACTGGAGATTCACATCATGGATGTGCAGCGAACAACTGTGTGACGCTATTGTGTCAACATGGAGCAAAATCTGAGGAACGTTTCTGTCCAACTTTCACCTTTAACCTTGTTGAATCTACGGCACGAAGGATTTGAACACTCCCGAAGGCATCAATGCTAAGAAACAATCACACAGAGAATCAAACAGATAATAAAAATGAAACCTGAATTTTACGCTCTGCTTTTCCCGTCTTTGCTACAATTCGCTACACTCTAACACACAGACACTCACAAACTTTCAGAATGTAATCAACACATGTCAGGAGGTCTACTGCATGTCCAATTCAGAGCCTGTGTTAGTGTTGGTGGAAGTGTGTGTTACAAAGCATGAAGCACCTTCTAATCCTGTTACCTCATCCTGTAAATCTGATTTGAAGAAAATAGCCAAACAGAAACAGACACACACACAAAACAGCTTCTAGAAGTCACTCACTCCGGATCCTTTTCATCCTACTATGCTGTTGTTAACCACAGGTTGTGACTCACAGCTGAACTAGTCATTAATCTATCACTGAATGACATACATACTGCGCATATGAACTTCCATCCCACAGGCATGACTTTCAGACAAGACGCCTGTATAAGAATGTGTGTGACACACTTTTAAAAGACTGTGTGCTTCAATACGCGTGTATTCCTGGTGTGTAGGGTCATTTCCTCTCTGCCTGCGTCTGAATCACCCTGAGGAAAACAAAGGACACTGAAGGAATCCATCTTAAAGGTACAGCTTTCCTTTTCGAAACAAGAAAAACCGTGTGGAAGAAAAAGCTTTACCAAACAACTTTAAAAAAAAATCAAATATGTAAAGCTCAGTGCAGGGAAAAAAAACTCTTATTAGGCTTGTGATCAAACCTCAGCAGTTTTCCAGTGGCTGTGGTTAGCACAAGCCTCCCTGTGCTTCGACAGCCGGTGATGAAAAGAGATATTTAAAGCAACAGGCAGATGTTAAACGGCTCCATAACAAGCCCTCCTGCATCCAGCCTCAGCGTTCAAAAATCAGTCGAGTTTTTATAAGAAGTATAAAGTTGATTAGCAGAGAGGAGCTCACATCGCTGCGACTTTGGTGTCTGATAGTTACACTTTTGTTGGAACTGTTTAGCTGCACTCCACACAAAGAGCTGTGACAACGATCTGTGTCACTTTAAAGTCCTAAAGAAATCACATGACCTTTTACACTTAAAGGTCAATAAAACAATTAAACAAGGAGCTAGAGCAGGCTAGGACGAAGAGCCCCGCTTTTGTAGAGTTCATGAAAATTTGCCTGGTCAAGTAAAAACTCTCTCCTTTGTGTTGGCCATCAAAGAGGAAACAGACAGGAAGTAGCTGCCACAGGAAGTCCACATGGAGAAGACTGCTCCCCTGGAGACCTCTGGGATTACCGCTCAGCAGCGTTTATATCTGCTGCCTTAGAGCTCTATGTTTAAATAGAATACATATTAGTTTTACTGGGTCTAGTTTAGTGCTCATCTTGATTATTAGTAGTCCCTTTAAACCTTTAAAGACTTCTTTGGTCATTTGTGTGAAAACAACACTGACATCTTGTTTGAAAACTGTTGGTGAATGCATAAGCTACCAGACATGGAGCACCAAGAACACTCACGTTATGTTCCTGTCGATGTGGTAGATGTAAGTCTAATATCTATGGTCTCAACAACTCCGCTCGTTACACGTCAGATATCATTAAGTTTCTGATGTAGTAGCTGGGGAGCGCATTTACACGGGAGCACCTAAAATAAGGTCAACTAAAGGCCAGTAACAACCACGAGCACCTAGAGAACCAAACTCGGTGCTTCTCGTTATCCAGAACATCCTTGAATACTCTATTCTATTAATAGTTAGCACTGTGGCCGTGCTGCTGAAAAACTCAGGCGACCTTTGTTGTTTTAAGTTCATCTGATGCCAACGTGGAGCTCTCAAAAGTTTATTGTTTATTTCACACACACACACTAATCACAAACTCTGTTGCTGATCTTTTCAGCTCATGTGATATCAGTCCGCAGCTTTAAAAAGGATAGATTTTCAGGGTTGTATATATTTAGACACATATATGGCATGCAGATCCATTTCTCTGAAGTTGGGGCACAAACTTTAAACTGATGGGCACAGAGCTGTTCCCACTGAGCACCACCGGACTCAAGCCATAGCTCATGCTTCCTATCTAGGCCAAACAGGACTCTGAGGACCGGTTATGAATTGGGCCACAGTTCTCGCCGGTGCTGGGAGCTGAAACTGTGTCACCGGAGGCACGGAGGGAGAAAAAACCCCCACCAAAGTGGCAGCAGCAGCATGCTGCAACAGCCGCAGGGTCCTGCACAACCAAGCTTGGCCTTCTCACACGCTACTATCCTGCATGTCTCTCCACCATGTCATTGCTCCTGAGGCTGAAGAAAAGTAACGTAGTGCTCACATTGGTAAACGCTGTAAGATCAATGAGGTCTGCCTCATTGTCTGTCTGTGTAGTGTCCACGCAGATGTTAAAAGACTTCATTAACAGCTGGATGAACCTCTGGGCTCAGACGATGCTGGAATTGCTCCGTCTTTATGAGGCCGAGATGTTTCACAGAGTACAAGAGACAGGCTAACGCTGAGGTACACACACATGCTGTCACATATACAGACAGAGATCCACATGAAAACACCACCATGACAGAAGAAGCTACAGCTAACACTGGGCTGCCTGGAACCTGTGAGCTCTAAGCAGCTGTTAGACACACAGAATCATTTCAGGAGGAGATATGAAAAAACTTCATTGTAATCATTTAAATGTTTTTTCCACTAAGTAAATGTGATGAAACTCATGTGTTTATGGGTTCTTTGCCATTTTTCTTCACTTTATGTAATGATAAAATTAAAGTTTTGGCACAAACTTTGGGTTTAATAATCATTGGTCAACATTTATCAGATGGCCTGATGTAGAGAAAAGCAAGTTTGCCATGATTAAAAACACAATTAGCCAAAGCAGAAGAGTCTGTGCTTGGTTCAGCCCACTGATTACTTCAATGATCATATTTTATGCATGTGAATAAATGCACGTGTGCATTTTATTTATAATCCATTCTTCCGGGGAGTATTTTGATTTTTTTTTTTCTTTTAAGACCAAACTATTATTCTCTTAATATACCAACAAGTTACAGTCCTAAACTGAAGTTATGAGCAGAAGCTGATCCGATCTGTCCAACCTGACTTCTGCTATTGGGAATAATTAGCAGCAGGTCGGCAAAAGGTTAAACCAATAATCCTGAACCAATAGTGGAGGGATACAGTGAGGCTGATATGACATATGGACTGACTTTAGAAACCCAGCCTAATGTAACCAGGAGAGACATTATTATGGGCTCCAGCTAGTTTAAGCCTTCATATAGACTCCAGGTTAGTGTGCGGTTAAATAGGACTTTGAATGGGAGATAATGGGAAGATTTCTTGCCCTAATAACGAGGTTTAATTGTGTTTGTCTGTCACAGTGAGAGTCTGATTACAGGATGCTGTTTACAAAACAGTCTCACTTGCACACCCTCTGGTCCGACACGACAGCAGGCCTTATTATTACACGTTAGATAATTATCTTAACAGCGTTTTCCACTATTCTCATCCAAAAAATAAATTAAAAAAAAAGGGAAAGGAGGAGCGAGGCACCACCTACCCGAGCCGAAAGCCTTGGCCACCAGCCACGTCAGACTGCATGATATCTTGGCCCTGGTGAAGTCGTAGTGATCGAAGCTCTTGATGGCAGGGACGATGAAGGTCCGTCTCATCCCTCTGTCATCTGCCGCATCTCCCATTGTTTCACTGTGAGGGACCCGCTGCTTTACTGCTGCTGCTGGAGGCTCAGTCTGCAGGAGTTCCTCCTGACTGCGGATAACATCCCGTCCAGAGGAATTCAATGCACCAAAATTTCCTTCTCCCAAAAAAACCGAAAAGAATCAAAGGGGGAAAAAAACCCAACAACTTTGGCCTGGTTTCTGAGAGCACGACGAGCTGGAAATGAAACGGCGCCCCTCGGTTCATATGAGCTCCATCCTCAGCGTTACGTTTCCGTGATAGCCTTAAACCCTGGCAGCACGGCGCAGTTTAGTGGCAGGATTTCTGAAGATTTCCTCCATTCCCTGACATTACTATCCTCCGGTCTCCCGACATAACGGAGCAGCTGTGTGGCACGGGAGGAGCGCTAGAGCCCGGCACCACGGGGCACTTCCCCGGTCACACCGAGTTGGCTGTTGGTGTTCATGCCGCTCTCCTTCTTCTTTTTTCCCCTTTCCTAACTGTTTTCTCACCCTCTGTATCTCGGCGGCGTCTCCCCTGCGCTTTTCCTGCCGCACTGATCGGAGGATGGAGCGCACTGCGCACGCGCGATCCACCCACCCAGTCTGCTCAGTCCTGACAGGAGTCGCCACAGTGTAATATAAACCAAGGTGGAGTTAACTAAATCCCAGATGTTGTTTCCAAGGAGAAATACACTTCCAGCTAGTTCAACATGTTCTCCCAATGCTGTGAGGCGATCCGCAGTTCACTGAAGTGTTAGGAGATGAGGACAGAATTAGTAGCATCCCACCTCAAAAATGTGCTTAAAATATTCAATCAGTGGTGCGCACAGAGTCTCCCACAGTGTGATGTTATAGTACGACCGTCTGTCGCTACAGACATAGTATCATGTTACATACTGTTGGCATCCTTACAAAATGTACACAGAAACCTGACAATGTGATGTGGAAGAAAATTTATAATCAGAAGAAGGCTCTGGGCTTCTTCTCAGTTGGCTCAGTGGGTAGATTGGGTCATCTAACAATTGAAAGGTCAGTGGATTGATCTGTTGCTTCTCCAGTCCACATACCCAAGTATTCTCAGGCAACATACAGAGCCTCAGGTCCAAACTGGGAGCTGATTCCATGGCAGCCTGAAAGCTTAAGTCTTTGCCTCCCATTCTACTTTTAGAAACTCGAGGAACCACAGGTAAGCCCACAGTCTGAAAGCAAAGTGCTCTATTAGACTTACGTGATAGAATGGCATCTTTAAGATATGTGACCTTCAGACCATTCAGGACTCTGTGTGTGAGGAAAGGGACTTCAAAGCTACCTCTGGATATTACAAAGGCAGATAAAGAGATCCTAACATGAAAAGCATACGATCTCTCTTTCTAGTTTCTGTCAGCACTCTTACTTACATTTGAAACCAGCTGGATGATTGTTGTTGGGACCTCACAGTAATAAGAAATTACAATAATCCAGCCTGGAGGAAATGTGGGTTTTTCAGCATCACTCTGAGACAGGATGCTCATAACTTTGACAATATTGTACAGAAGAAAGAAGACAGTCCCAGTACACCACCACCAACGTCTGCTGCCTCATAATAAACGCCAAGAAGAATTATCAGCTTTTCAACATTTTGTTTGAAAACTGAAAATAGAGAACATATAAATAGAATTAATAGCAGAAATGCTGCATTAGATTTCAGTGCCCGGTGAATATACGTGATGCGACACAACTCACATGCTAATAATCAACATTTTGACTTTGACTGTGTGGAAATGATGTGAGAACTATCATTATCTTCAATTTATTTAAAATAAATTTATATCACAATAAAGTGCAAAAAGCAAATGTTTCTCATAACCTTCTGAAGTATGTCAAGTAGTTCAAAGCTTACGGACTAAAATTCTTACATGACAGAAGTTCAGGTCATAACAACTTGAGATGCTTTCTTAGCAACTGAGACTGAGGATCAGTCACAGAAGACAAAAGTACCATGAAATAAAGCACAAATGTGTTTGACAAAGACATCATCACCATCAGTAAACCGTTTGATATTACATCAGAAAATGTGACACACAAGGAGAACTTAAATGAAATATCAATGACACTAACAGTAAATCTATAAAAAAAAAAAGAAGAAGAAGAAGAAGAAGAAGAATCAGCAGAACTAAAAAGACATCTGGAAATGTACGTTTCTTTTGAAAGGTTTTAAAAGTTTTCCCTGGTAGTTTGTTTTGACATGAATATGACCCGATCAGCAAGTTCTTTAAAATCATCTTTCCAACCAATCACCGTTTGTCAACAAGTTGCTTCTTGTTGCATTTTCCCCTTCATTTCAACTTAATCATCATCCAAATGTTACACATCTGTTCCAAAGTTTACACAGCAATTTCCTCCCCTCCCCACCAACCAGTCCTGCAGGTGGCTGCCCTTCCCTGAGCCTGGTTCTGCTTTTTCTTCTTGCAGTCACCAAGTACTTGCTCAGAGAAGGTCGTCTGATTGTTGGGGTTTTCTCTCTGTTATTGTAGGGTCTTTACCTTACTGTATAAAGCACCTCGAGGCGGCTGTTGTTGTGTTTTGGCGCTATATAAGTAAAACTGAATTGAATTGAACTGATTACATTTGGCCATACTCAAATCAGCACTTGAGATGAATATGGAAATTATATTAAAATTACTTTTTGGACAGTGACTATGCAAGATGACTGCAGTCATGGGAATGGATGAGAAGTGTGTAAGAGTGCTGCACCCTAGTGTCTGCAAAGAGCTCATACAGCTGAAGAGGTTAAAAAGGAAGCCTCTCTTATTAGTCAGTAGATGGCACTCCTATGCCAATTATACCATAAAATGGCCCTTGCTCTGTTCAGCATACTTTATCACTACTACACTGTTTTCATGTACTTAATGGCTCTTTTGCTGCTCTATTGGGATTTCTTTCGCTGACAGGTTTGATTGCACTGACGTAAACTACAGCAAATAAATTCCTCATAGTGGTCGTTACAGCTTTAACACTTTAGTGTTCAGGAAAAACATGAATACTTCTTTCATTCTCAGCATATAAACTGATGCCACACGTGCCATAAAATGTCCAGCTTCACTGCTCCCCCTTTGTTTAATTGGAATCCTCCCTGTTTGCATTTCCACCCAAATCCACATTCATTCGAGAGTCGTTACCAATCATAATGTAGTTAGCATTTTCAATATGAATGTTTGGCTGTGGGTGCCACGCAGCCGTCGGGGGCCCTGGTCGAAGGTTTGGTTCTACTGAGATTGTCAGATTGCTTATTTTATTTAAATGCTTCGTTGTCTGTTTCTGAGCTTTCTCCTGTTTCCAGATCCATCTCTGTTTTTTAATTTTTGCAGGCAACAATGACTTTTGGATCTTTTTCTCAAAGTTCTTTCTCTCTTCAAGTGGATTCACTCCCTGCAGCACCATAGGCATATCCTGTTTGGGCATGCAGTTCTCTCGTGGCAGCAGAGGGATCACAGTGTTGTATTTATGTGCCTTGTTTATAGAGTTGACGAGGGCAGCGTTCGCCTTTAGATCCAGCATGCAAGTGTTGAAGTTGCGGGTAAGCAGCAGCAGGGTGAAGGCTGAGTTGTTGATGGCGTCCTCCATGCTCTTTATAGTGGTCTTTCCGGCAATGGAAAAGTCAGAGAAAGTCGCACCTTCAAATTCACCACCAATGACTGCTTCTATTTTCTCCTTTATGCTTTCGGCCATATCTGAATCTTCCGGTGCATGCAAGATAACAAATGCATAAAACATTTCTTCTTCCTCTTCTTCCACAGCTTTGCTTTCATGTATTTCTCCAGGAACACTCGTCTTCGGTAGTTTAGGACTTGGCGTTTTTGTTTGATTGTCTGATTTCGTGTCACTCTCATTGCTCACTAGTGATGCTGCTGCTGCTGCGCCATACTTACTTGAGTCTTGTTTTGGGTCAAATGGAGGAGATCCAGTGGTCTTAGGCTGAGCTTCAGATGACTGAGGTGGCTCGGTCACATTTTGTGCTCTGTTTTCTTTAACGCTGAGGACGGGAGGATTCGATTTGGGGTTTCCTGGGTTCCCTGGAGAGGTTCCGTGTGCTTGAAACAAGATTGTTGAGGGCATACTTATCTCCAGATGAGTAGGGTAAGAGGGCATTGAGGGGAGATTTGCACTGAGGGGGCTGGGAAGAGATGAAGCTGATGAAACCTGAGATTTTTCCACACTACTGAGAAGATTGGAGTCAGGCTCTGCCTTCTGATCACTGGAGGGGGACATCCACTCTGCACACTCAGGCCCACAGACATTTTTAGCTTCCTCCAGGAATTCATAGTTGTATAGTTCCAGGTCATTACCATTTCTTGTTTTTACGCAGTCACTAGAAAGAGCACGCTTGTATGCCAGATTTCTCAGCAGTGGATCACACAGCCTCTGCTCTGTCAAAACTTTAAAAACATGAGCCAGCTCTGCCAACGATTCTCCCGTTAAGGCTTCAAAAAGACCGCAATGAGATCCAAAATCTTCCAAATTGCCTCCTCTCATCTGACACTTCTCGGCCACATGCTTAGCGAGGGAGCTGTCCGTCAACATCTGGAGTTTGTCGAGAGCTTCCACCTCCTTGTGGAGGACGATGAGACACAAGGCGTGTATGATTTTATCTTCAGGAGAGTCACCCAACTGGAATGTCAGACTAAGGAGTCGTTCTGAAGGTGTCTTAACAAGAAGGTCAAAGACATCCCTCAGTCCTGTCCCATGGTTGGCTCGGCTCTCGAGACTCATTTTCAACTTCACCTGTGAGCCAGCGTGTAACAAAGTCGATGGGATCACATGTGACTGTCGAGCATAACCATTCTCAGTTCTTCAGGGACTTGAGTTGCTGAAGAAGTGCCGTTTCCTGTATGTTCCTCTTTCTTTAGGCATAAAAAAAGAAAACGTGTCAGAAATCACAGAGCTAACACGTGGTCACAACATGATGTGCTTCAACTGTATTCAAAAAGTAACTTCAATGAATTTTAATACATCAAGCTTAGCATTTTGTCTCCCTCTTGTGATCTTTCATTATTCCTCTTTGGATTATGTTCTGTAGAGGTAAAATAAACTTTCATCTGATCATTTTGGACTAAAACAACGGAAATCAGGACCAGCATCATGTTCCAAAAGCTATGACTGAGCTATGTGTGTGTTTCTAGCTCAGAATAAGGAAGTCCCAAAGAGTGCTTTTCTGCTTCAGTTAAGTTTTCAGATAGAAACTTTTTTATCTTAAAATCCAAAAACAAGGCTCTGAGAGACCGATGATTCCTCAGAATAACCCTAGCCTCAATAAGTCTCCTCAAACTTCTACACTAAACTTTTCCAGTGAACGTACCTGCTGAAGTTGTAGGCCTCTGCCAGCCTGAAGTAATTTTGGAGGACATACTGATGATGTCACAGCTTGCGAAGTACAGGAGCTCAAGAGGGACAAAAGACTGAAGCAGGAAGAAGCCTCAATTCCAACTGAGACTACAGCTCTCCCGTGGGTTCTCCATATTACAGAGCTGTACCGTCCTTAAGAGACTCTATTTATAATGTAAACATTTAACACTTTAACATGTATTTTCATATAGTATGGTAACTTTTTCATATAGTTTGCATCTGCCAAGAAGACAAAGAAAAAAAGATCTCTTCTTGCGGGGAAGTGTGGAAGTCTTGAGCACAATGGGCGTACAAGAGAGGAGGAATTCTGGCATTTTCCCCTCTCGGCTGAGAGGCAAGTGTATTTTTATCCTCAGAGGAAACCTCCAACCCTGTATTTACCAGGGGTGGGGTCACACCAGGCACACTGAAAACCAAGATCAAGTCCTTCAATGCAGCGCAGACACAGAGCCTCTCTGTTCTGAGTGCAGAGAGCGGTATGTGATATGTTTACTGCACGTAACCATTTCTGAAGGATTAATGTGACTCTATAGGAAGTGTGGTTTTTATGCCTTCCTTAAATATCTCAAGGCTGGAATTTCAGTTTCTTTATGGAATAAGACACACACACACACACACACACACACACACACACACACACACACACACACACACACACCCTCCTCTGTAACTGACAGCAAGCCAAGAAAACCAAAATCAAGAAACCATATGAATGATACATTTAATCTACACTCACTGGCCACTTTATTAGGTACACCTTGCTAGTATTGGGTTGGGCCCTCTTTTGCCTTAAGAACAACCTTTATTCTTCATGATACAGGTTCAACAATGTCCTCGAAATAGTCCTCAGAGATCCACCGCAGGACTGAAGTGTGGTTACTGTGGAGGCCTTTTGAGTACAGTGAACTCGCTGAAACCAGTTTGAGAAGAAGCCATCGGAAAATGGGTACACTGCAGTCATAAAAGGATGGACATGGTTAGCAAGAACAGTCAGACTGTGGTGTTTAAAAGATGCTCCCACACCATTACACCGTCACCACATTAATCAAGACAGGATGGATCCATGTTTTCGTGTTGTTTACAGCAAGTTAACAGTATTTTGTTGTACAGTTATTTTATTTTCAACTTTAATTTATATATTTATCTTTATCTTATTCTTCCCAGTTAAATTTACCCTTCATTCTAATTTGTGTTGTACAGTTATTTCATTTTTAACCTTAATTTATATTTTATTCCTTCCTAGTTAAATTTACCCTTTTTAATTTTTCATATTTATTTCCTATCTTATTCATAGCCTTTTCCTTTTTTTTGTTCTCTTTAGGTCACGAGCAGTTGTCCAAGCATTTCACTACATATCGTACTGTGTATGACTGTGTACGTGACAAATAAAATTTGAATTTGAATTTGCAAGTTCAGAACCTACCATCTAAATGTTGAAGTCGAGACCCATCAGACCAGGAAATGGTTTTCCAGTTTTCTAGTGTCCAACTTTGCTGAGCCCATGTGAAGCGTGACCTCAGTTTCCTGTTCTCAGTGTGGTCTTCTGCTGCTGTGGCCCAGTCTGCTTCAAGATTTCACCTGTTGTGTGTTCATCTGCATAGCTTGGCTCTAACAAATTTGCGTTCCTGTTGCTTTCCTCTCAGCTTAAAATAGTTTTTCCTTTCTCCTGTGATCTTTGCCATCAACAAGACATTTTCACACAAAGAATTTCACTGGATATCTTCTCTTGTTTGGACCATTCTCTGCAAACCATAGAGATGGTTGTGCGGGACAGTCTCATTACATCAGTGATTTCAGAAATACTCACAGCAGCCAATCTAGTACCAATATCCATGCTACTGTCAAAGTCACGCAAATCACATCTCTGCCTCATTCTGATGCTCACTTTGAACTTTACAAGGTTGTCTTGAATATGTCTACATGAAAAAGCCCAAAGATACTAATAAATGACAAAAGAATCAGTGAGACTCAATTGTATTGATTATGCAACACAAGATGGTTTCTGTAACATTTTCCTGATTCTGAATCATGTTTAGAATCAAAACTGAGCCATTTTAAAGTTTTAATCAGGCTACATAAACTGACAGGTCACACAGAATATAGTGTAACACCAGCAGACAGGGGAGGTGGAGCTTTATAAAGAAAATGCCCCAAAGTTCTTACTTAAACATGAAGGAGAGCAGATAAATATTTAAGCAACCCGCGTATTGTGTGTACCGTGATGCAAATACAGCATCAGAAAGTGGTTTAGTTGACTAATGTCAATCCGTCAGACTTGTTAACAGCTTTGTTGCTTCTGTGTACATTACCAGCTTTGCCATGAAGAGACAAAAGAGACTCTGTAATAGAGTTAATAAATGAAAGATTCAGTGAGGGATTTGTTGTCCACAGAGCTCATGAATATGATGATTTTAGCTGGAAGTGCGCACAACTGAGACTGCCTTTCAGAACCCATCCTTATACGTCAGAGACAAGTCAGTGTACACTGTACGTACTATAAAACCATCTAGTGTACTCTTGGAGTTGCGACTTGATTTAAGGTTAAGAATAATAATTAACAAATATGTGTTCTTTATGCTGAAATTTAGAAAAGGTGAAATATGGAACATTTTGTGACACTTAAAACAAATCTTTTCAGGTTTCAGGTGCAATTGAGGTTTTAACTGAGGTATGTAATTAATAGAAAATGTAAAACCTTGAATTAAATACTGTTAATTCACATTTTTTAGGATACTGAGGGGGAAAAAGGTAGCCATAGTGTTTTTAATGTCACAGAAAGAATCTGAAGAAAGTATTAAAAAAAGCTGGACGCCCTTAGGATCCTTTTCACACATATGTTATATATATATATTTTCTTATGAACTCTCACACACCATTAAATGCCCTTGTATAAGATTTGCACGCAAGGTTTGCTACACACACACACACACACACACACACACACACACACACACACACACACACACAGCCTCGGGATCATCCTCAGTCTGTTACGTAACACACTGCCAAACGTCCATCTTTATTGAGGACAATTCTTCTAACGAGAGACACGCTCTCCCAGCAGCTGTGTTAGTCAGCCTGCCAGTAAATTTGCCTTCACCTGCAGGCAAAATCATGTAGTAAGAGGCTGTGTCAGTTCTGCAAATCCCGACATCGCACAGGAAACATGACGTGGTTTGCCACACATGCAACTCTCCCTTTATCAAAGCTGAAATGCAAACATGTGTATGTCTACGTGTTTGTGAGCGTGTTTTCTGGCCGTGGGAGAGAGAGAGGCCCCGGGGGACACACAGAGGGGTCACATATAAGAGGCTTTAGGGCAGACAAGTGAAAAGGGGGCCCTTCCTTGGACAGAGACTAAAGATTAGGATGAAAGACATATGAGTGTGTATGGAGCAAGTTGGAGGGGTTGGTGGGGGTGCCTCTATTTTTTATGTCTCACCCACTGCTGCATCTCTCACACGGGCCATTCAAAATGAGCAGGAAGTAGACGACAGATAAGATAGCGAGATAGGTGCCTAGCGAAAGACAAAGTGAGACCCTGACTGATCGATAGGCTCTTTAGAATTCAGTTTGTGAGAGACAGAGGAGAAGCCGCGCAATGCACGGCTCTTTTTCCCAGCCACCTGATTCGTCACACATGCTAAGAGAATTTAACACACTTGCTCCTGGCGAGCAAATATATTCTCCGCACACATGTACATGAGAAGACGTGCGCATACAAAGCCATGCACTCATTCAAACAAGCACCCCACAACTGCCCACCCACTGTTTTTGGCCTCCACTGGAACACTAAAAGAAACACCTGCGTTACGGCCAGTGCTCCACTCTGAGGGAAAGTTTTGCATTTTTCTGCAATTTTTGTTTAAAGCAGCATACAGCTTTAAAAGCTTACGCAACAGTTTATTTTGTTCAGATTAAGATAAAGGTTATGGATGGATGGGTGCAGCTTTAGGTAGCCTACACACATTCAGGCGTGTTCTGTGTATCAAGGCAAAAATAAACTATCACATACTGAGGCTAGTTTATGCTGTTGACAAAGTGAGCCAACAGATCTGAGCTAATGTGACAGTTAACCAGCATTAATTCAGGAGCAAAAGTAAATGAAGCGGGCCTGCGGACACGACAAGGGAGTGCAGCGGGGATGGGAAGATGTGTGTACTGTACCACACTGGACCATGCTTGGATGAGCATGTAGGCCATGCCAACAACAATGCATAATACAGCCTCTGGTGATGGGGGGATGGATACGAACACACAGAGCTCCCACCTTACCTCATGTGCACAAAACACGCAGACATTCACTTGTGCAAGCGCACGCGCACAAACTCACACGCATGCACAGACATTGACGGTGATGCGGCATGGAGCAGTTTATGCTCATATCAAAAGAAAGTCTTTGATCAGTGTGACAGGAAGGGCACTCGCCCCAAAGCAATTAGCTAACTCTCCTGCCTTGCACAAAAAAAAGCACATCCACAATAAATCAGGCGTGCTTGCATTTGCAACAGAGGGGAGAGAACGTTTGATATTTAGCTTCATTAATATGCTAAATGTATGAATATGATTTGTTCCAGTTCACTGTCCAGACTAGCATGTCCATAGTGCCATGATAACCATAAAGAGCAGAATGTGCAGAAATTCAGGTTGCATGTATAATCCGCTCAGTTTAACAGCCTGTTACTCTGCACAAGCAATTTACATACAGCTTTTAAATTAGTACCACTTTTATTTCTCCTAAAAAAAATGTCCTGACACGGAGAATACTTTTAAAAGAATCCCCGATTTTGTTTATTTTTGCTTGCTGGAGCGTTTCACCGATATAAGATACGGTTAAGGTGATGTAATATTTCCTCTTAGTATATAAAATTGAAGATAATTAATTAGGAACAGTTTGATACTTAGGTTTTATTGCTTAATGTTAATAAGAAGATTACAACATTCATGTTTGTCACTTAGATTTGAGGCCACAAACTGGAGCTGTTTAGCTTTGCTTAAGTTAGCAGATAACTTAACCCTTTAAGACCTAC